AAATGGAGGCTGTTAATACTAATGAGGGAAAGAGGTTATTATTTTGAGTGGTACTGTTAGGAGTAACTGCAAACTGTTCAACTGGTTATCAGGAAAAACCTCACGACCACTTGATCCATTAGTCTGCTGACTAGCCTGTCTCCTCAGGGAAATGGTGAAAACTGTATTGCATGGCCCTTTTAAAACTGGACTGGATGAAGCACTAGAAAATACTGTCAGGAATGTTCTTTCATAACAGGGAAAGAACTGGGTGATCCTGCACTTATTTATGTATTAGGTTTATATTCATATGCTAAAAAGGGTTCATGGGGAACTTATAAGTTATAATAAAAGTCAGATTGCAAAGATAAAAATATTAAACTAAAATCATGTACTAGAACAAACTCCCTAGACAACGCCCCAAAACTTAAACCCACCTGTTGAAGATCTGCTCACATACATAGCTCTTAAAACACTTCCAGAAGATGTCTAGGCCCAGGCTTTGATGGACCACAAGGGGGAGGCAGGTCCAGGGCTAAGCAGTGATTACCGAGAATGACCTTGCTTGTGTTTTTGCCAAATGAGTTTGGTGCACAGATGGTATTTGCCTCAAGTCATAAGGCAGCTTGTGCAAAGCAGCATGGAGTGCATGAGTATTCTGCCAAGCACAGTAAGTTTACCTTTAAGACATATCATCATCATAAATTTCTTTGTACTATGCTGAAGCATAGGGCAAGAAATGCAGTGTCTAACTTGTACAGATCCCTGCATGGTTTTTCTGTAAGGTAAAGTAGAAAATTTGAGTTGCATTTTAGTGCTGGAGGTTCCTGGACATTGCAGTTTAGTATAGATGTGATAGATTTGTGTCACAGTGTTGAAAGGTCCCATGTTTTTACTCTGATACAGGAGGACATGTTTACATTTCCCCTCTTGTTTGCTGATCCCTGTATGTGCTTTAAAGGCAGATTTGACTTTTGCAGTGTATTATCACAACTTTGCTTCATTCTTGTCTTCCTTCCACCTTTCATTTAACTCAAATTAGTACCACTGCTGCTCTACGTTTGATATTTTGGGGGGCAGTAAATAAGAGATCACCCTGAGGTTTTGTTGGTGTTGCAACCTGCACTTACAGGGAGTGACTTAATGGGCCATTATCTTGGGTTACTGGAAACATCTTCTAAATCACTAGCAGTGAAGGAGAGCGCATAATGGCTTCTGCTCGTTTCTGTGTGGGGTAGATAATCATGTACACCCACAAGCACTGAAAGATTAGGAGATCTGTAAGAGGTAAAATGTGAGTTCAAACTGGATTGAAGTTTTGAAAAACTTTGGTCTGCATCTCTTGGATAGCTTTGTCTATTGTATGTCATTTTGTACATGATAAAAACCAGGGATCTGCACTCACTAGAAAAGAAATTTGTTGGGACACAAATTTGCTCTTTCTCCCCCTTGTGGTCTATCAAAGCCTGTGTTAGAGTATAGAGCAGCTCCTATATCTGTCTCTGAAATGACTCGTCTTCTTTTCTCCAAATGAATTGTGCCTCAGTGAGTTTTCCAAAAGCGTCTGTCTTTCCTCCGCCTTGTCTGCCATAAGCTCAGCAAACAGCATGTTCGCAGAGTTGGACGTTGGAAACATGTCCAGGCCTGAGTGTCTGAACCTTCCTCTGGCTTCCTGCCTGCACAGAACAGAATGTTACTGAACGTGTGAGTGGTGGATAATATAATTTGTTAGACTGAGTTCCACACAGACTTCTTTCTGGCTCTTTTCTCACTCTAGAGCAAGAATCCAGACCTGGAATAAATTGGAATTCTGTATTTAGTAGGAAAAATAAAGGGCAGCTCAGGGATGTTTGTAGTGGGGTAAGTTTCAGGAACACTGATCTATGATGAAATGTTATCAAGAGAAGCGTCTAGAGCAGGACATCTGCTGGGCTTCTATACATGTCATGGATCCCATGATGTTTACGTTATTTCAAAAACATACATGAAGCTAAATATTTTAAGATCAGAGCATGTGAGTGACAAACTTCACAAAGAGCCTTCGGGGAAGTAAACTCTTAGGCAGCAGCAATAGTTAAGGAAGATAGGAGGTAAGCATAAATTGACAGCTCACAAGGTATGAAAATACAAGCTGGCTGTGAGCTCTTGATTTCCAGAGGGCCTTGAGATCTCCTGTCCAGGTAAAAAGTCTTTTAAATTTGGAGATCAGGGTTTTGATTTTCAATAGGAACTTGATTGTTCTAATATCCATCTGTCTCTTGATAGTTTTATTTAAAAAAAACCAAACCATCTCTTCCCTCAGAATGAGCCTTGATATATTTTTGGTTCTGTGTTTCCTTGAAAAGTCAAGTTCCATAAGGGAAAGTTTTTGCATTGCTTTGAAATAGCTGAACACAGGTAGGTAGACCAATAACTCATGAAATACCACCTGCATTCTTTATGATAATCTCCATATCACAAGCATAGATCCCCAAAACCAACGTCCTTGAAAATTTTGGACATACTGTGAACATCATGGGATCCTCAGCTGTTAATCTGTGGAGACAAAGGGCATATCAACACTGCCTCAGTACACTGCTAGGAAGCTCTGTGTGCTACCTTCTGAAATGGAAGTCACGTATCCATTTTAATGCAGCAGTGGTTGCACACCAATAATTTATCTCCTTTCTTGGGGAGATGGCAAGCATATATAGCCTTTGAGGTGGATAGATATGACAACAGGATTTCTGATTGACATGGTATGAAGGAATGAATAAGGATGAGGACAGATGGAACAATTATAGGGGTATCAAATTATACTGGGGTAAGCTGTTCTGTTCTCTGGCTCTGGTGGAGTGGAGGGTGGGTGGGGGCAGCTGTTTCCTGGTTTCATGAAGAAGGGATGCACAGGGGGGTATAGGGGTCTCTTGACTATGGCAGGGGTTCTCTGGGAGAGTGGAGGTGGAGCAGCAGGGCAGTACTCACTAACAGTTTGTCCTGTTCTCCCTGTATGGGAGAAGGCAGTGGAATACTTTGGGATTCTGGAGGACCCAGGTGTCCCCTATCATGCTCTGTAGCGTATGCACACAAACTGAATGGAGTCATTTCTAAATAGTACCTTATTTCAACAGGTACTCTTTCGGAGCACTTTGGCCTTTTTGGAGCACTTCAAAGGGTGTGCAGCTGACCTTTTGAAGCACTCCAAAGGCATTTGGAATGTTTCAGAGATGGCATCTGTCCATGACCTAAATCTGTTTTATTCGGGTCCAGACTTATGGTGGTTTAACTCACTTATAGTGGTATTGGAGTGGACAGATGTATCAGTTATATTGGAACAGTTGATGCATGCTCCTAAGCAGTAAGTCCTCCTTCCCCTTTAGAAGTGGCTTTGAAAACATTTTGGCTTGGAACATTGCTTAAGGTTGGACTTAATTTATAGCAATAAAGAAAAATATTTTGTTTGTAGTGTGCTATAAAGCTTTTATCAGCATGATTTAGCATTTTTAGCATTTTACAGTGAAACTACTTAAGTAATCTTTCAGAACTGTGAACCACAGCCTGTGAAGAACAAAGCGTTCATTGGTGACTTCCAGAAAACCAGTGAGTCAGTGTGTCCTCTCCCTTGTACTAGGTTGCTTCTACAGTTACATATTCCTGTTGGGCAGGGACAGATGAATTGATTCAATCTTTGCAGGTTAGTCTATTCTGTTAAGGTTGAACTGATTTGTATCAATACAGACTTTCCTTGTGGACTGAGGAAATGTGGGCACATGCCTGCAGTTGCTCAGGCCAGGAGCAGGGGACGCACTAGAGTGTGCTCTTAGCTGCAGGGAAGCTGTGCTGGGGGGGCATGGCCAGCTTGGGCAGTAGATTTGGCTGAACTGGCCAGAGAAAGGTTTAATTCCCCTGTCCCACTGGCAGGGACCTGAACCAGGTCTGCTGGGCACTGCTTCCTTGCTGCTGCAGGGGCAGGCCAGCATGGCTCCTGAAGCAGAGGGGGTAGGGAGGAGGGTTATTTCCCTCTCTACCCCCACTGTCCCTGGGGGACTGCAGCCGAGTCTGCCCATCCTGACCACTGCCACCCCACTCACTACCTGCTTGGGGCAAGCGGTGGAATAAACCCCTTCAGGTCCCTGCTAGTGGGATAGGGAGGGGGTAACTAAACCCCTCTCTGGCCACACCCCCACCCCTGTCTGTCCCTGCTTGTCCCTGCTTGGCTGGGGAGCAGCGGGGCAAGGCCAGGCCTGCTGGACTGCAGCAGAGAGCCCAGCCCAGATTACATGCCAGGATGCTGAGGGACTCAGGTTTAAGTTAAACCAGGAAGGGGTCTGGGACAGACATTGCATAAACCAGTTTGAACTCAGTCAATTAAGTCTGATACTACATTCAACCAGGTTTATCTCAAACCGGTTTCAGCCATTTTGAAACTGGTTTATGTGCACTGAATGTCTGTTCTGTTACATGTTTAAACCAGTTCCTGATCACTTAAACTGGTTTATGTGTAACGTCTGTCCGTAACCATTGTGTACATGTGTGTATAGGAAGACACATATATGACTATGGTAGGCAGGTATACAGTTGCTATGTAAGAAGGTCATCACTGATGCATGCTCCTGAGCAGTAAGTCCTCCTTCCCCCTTAGAAGTGGTTAAAATCCATGTCTGTCAGCAGCCTACTGTAGCTAATAAATATAATAAAGAGGATGTTGCAACGTAAATTAGACTGCTGTAGCATATTCATCTTTCAGGTGGTAAGTACTGTGAGGAGACAGCACTGGACAAATACTGTATTGGCATTGTATAATAAAGTCTATAAAGTGCACATCCATCCTACCTTCTGCCTAACTTTAGTTAACAGGGCTAATTACCTGTCTTCGCTCATTGTACAATAAAGGCAGGTTTGTATGCAGAGTATTGCTCCAACATGAGCTTGACTGGGTGGATGCTTGTGTTTTAATATAATAGGAGCCCCAAGAATTTTAACCCTAGATTAAGGTAGATAAACGTTAAAACTTTCCCCCTTTTATTGTCGCTTTGTTACAGTTGCGGCCCTCTGCTCTGGATCATATGTGAAAAATACTTCTTTGCTGAATCCCCCTCCAAGCCTGTCTGCTGGTAGAGATGGGAAGATATCATCTGATAGGCCTCTGGGTCCAGGTACTACAACTCCTGTCCTTAAATCCTTCCTCTCTCTCAAGCAGGATTGAAGAAGTATCTCTATCTCCGTGCATGTCTATGGTTACTACAGAGTTGTGCTTCTGATTTTCCTGCTGTAAATGGAACATGCACAAACAGGCCAGGGTAGCCTTAAGGTACTGCCTCTCTCTGAGAAAAAGAAAATACAAGAAAAACGTCTTCTCCATCAACACACTTTGAAAACAGCCAAAGCTGAGTATGTTGAGTTCCTGAAGCCAATCCTAATAGGGCTGATTTTGTCAGCATATAAAAGACAAACTTCATGTCAGTGGGACACAAAAGCTTACAAAACCCAGCAGGGCAGAGTGCCTATGAAAAAGTTAAGGTGAACTGGGTTTTCTATGGTGCTGGAAACAGTTGAATAAATGTCCAGGTTTGTGAGGGTTAAGGAAACAATCCAACTGCTCCTAGAAAGGTAGAGGTATTTACAAAGGTTTATGTTTGTGGTGGTACCAAAGCTGTATATTCAGTAGGCTTCTTGATATCCTTATTATTTCCTATCTTCACTCCCACCTTGGTTCTGCTTAGTTAAAATTTATGGCAGGGAAGGTTTCTACATGGGGAGATTCTTGATAAGAAATGGAAAGGCATGTTGTTACTGCTCAGGCTCCAGAGAAGTCCTTCTCTGATAACCACAGTATCGCTGGTGGCCTAGCATTGCCAACTAAGACACCCATGGTGAGAACTTCCTACTAACAACACCCTCGTAATGCCACCTGCCATTCTTGCAATGTGCACCTCCTCACTTAAGAGTCCTGTCAGTGTTGGCTGGACTCTTGCAGGGTGAATTTGCTCATGGCTGCTTTATGACAACTGAAATTGCTTCCTTTGCTGACTATGGCTATCTTTTTTTGTTCAGTATGTCTCCTCCTATATTACCATATTTCCTTGCATACTGCACACGCCTTTCCCCAAAAATTAGCGCTCCAGAATCGGGGCGAGATGAGAGTCTCAAGTGGAGAACCGGATTTTCTTTGCCAGAATAGAAGCAGGACGATGATGTGTTGCAAAGAACTGATGAGCTGCTCTGCAGCAAGTAAGCAGGAGGGGTGGGGGTGGAATCCAGTGTTAACCCTTTTCTTGCTGCTCTCAGTTTGTTGGCTGAGAGAGAAGTTGGCAGCCATTTTGCAACACAGGCTCTCCATGAGAAAGCCAACCTTAAGCTGTGATGCTGGTAAAATATTTTTTTTCTGCATTCTGCCTTCCAAAAACAAGGTATGGGTCTTATTTGGGTTGGGGGGGAGAGGGGTATGCATGAAAATGTGGTAGATTCCCCCCCTTCATTCTCATCCTTCTTTTTCCTTTATGTTATGTTCATTCTTTGTGTCTCAGTAGTTTAGGAAGCTGCTCAGGAAGGTGATATGGTTGGAAAAACGTTAACAATTAACTGTCCTTCCCTTGCACTTTAATAAAACCCGTTGTCTTGGAAAGCTGGTTCCAAACATACTGGCATCTGCCTTTCATTTGCTTTAAACTGGCAAGACTGAGACTGGGAGACTGGTGTGTGGCAGCTCAGTGTCTTCGTATACACTGCCCGGGCTTTTGTGCCCTGGAGAAGTCACTCCATCTTTGCTTTACCTTTCAAGTGAGGGTTACATTCAGTGATCTGATGTCTCACTTGGCAGAGTTAACTGGACATAATAAATAAGGCAACCGTCAATCCTCTGGATCATGGTGTATGCGTAAGGGGTCTAGAGAGGTGCCTGATGAATCCACTTGTGGCTAACAAGCCCAATTTGAGAGCAACATAACTTGTTACAAATTTCACAGATCCATGCATTGTCTGAATTGGAGTCCAAGTTTACAGTACGATGCCTTCTTCTTTCTCACTTTGCTTCCATCATTTGGATCAAAGCAGCTTCAAGTTGTGCTCCACCAAGTGCCAGATGTTCCGTCCAGAACTGGACATATTTACCCTTAAAATGAAACATATTTTTAAGTCAATAGCATTATTGTAATTCCTCTTTGGCTGGTGCTCTCTACTTCCCTATCTTCTGTTTCCAACATGCCCTCTGAAGTATTTTATTTGTTGAGGAGTTTGTGACCCCTTGCGGAGCTGTTCCCAAAGACACAGAGTCGCTGTCAGTCTCAAATTTTATTCAGCATGCTGGGCACCCTGAGCAAGCTCAGAGGCCCCGAATAAAACTGTTAGAGGCCGTTTATAGTTTACAGACAAGATGCGTGCGCAGGTGGGAATTTTCTACTGTGAAAGAAAACAAGATATCAGGTCAGTGTGAGAAACTCTTAATTGTTTCAAACTGGTTTTTGGCTACATGCTTGTTTTTTGAAATGCTAACTAATAGGGAGGGGGTTACATCCTTGATTGTTTCAGACTTCAAGGCGACTAGGATTTGGTTATTCCGGAGTCTTATCAGCCTGTGTCCTTGAAGTGCTGAGTCTGCTTTGTAGTTAATTTCTACACTATTATCTGTGGTCTTGCTATTTAATATCTACACATTAATGCATCCCTGCAACAGAATTCATGGTTGTCTGTCAAGAAACAGTTCTCCTCTTGACTTGATTTGGGTGTGCCGTCATCAGTAGAACACTCATCAACTGTTAACATCAAAAAGAGTTCTGTCTTTCTTTTCTGTTCAGGGAACTTGTTTCTATGCATAACTCACATATCATGTGAATTTCTTTCAAGGAAGGCAATTTGTTTATTTCACCTGAGCTCATCTGAACATGTTTCCTTAGCAAAGCCAAACATAAAGACATGAAACCCCCATATCTGTAAATTAATCAAGTTGTTTTTCCTGCGAAATGGAATGGAAAAAAGTATTCTATTTTGAAGGCTTAGGAGATGCTCAGATGCTGCAGTGATGGGGCCAGGTACAATCTCAATCAGCTCCTTTGTTGCCCTGGGCATATTGGGGGGAGGCACCCAAGGGAATACTTGAGGCTGGGTGGTGTTCAGGACCCAACTGGTGAAGGGAGAGGGCTCTTAGGTCCTGACAGCTGTGTTGCTCCAGCTCTGCAGAGAGACCGTATTGGAGTCAAGGCAGCTTTAGGGTCCTGACAGCAATGGGGGAAGGCATCCCCAAGCTAAGGGCAAAACCTCTCTCCCTGCTTCACCAAAGGTGCTGCCAAATGCCATTCTGAGTGGGGAAATAAATCCCCTAGTTCAGCAGGAAGTAGGGATGGTTTCTGTCTTTACCCCCTGCTTCTTTTCCCCACAGTATTTATCTACTAGGACTAGAGAGCCTCCTTCACAGCACTATGTAGCTCCCAGCTCCTCTCCACATGGACCAAGCTCATAGCTGCTAGACTAGCAGCTTAGCTGTTTCTATTCCAGCATCCCCCAGTTTCAGTTCCAGTACCCGACCTTAACCTGTGCCTGGGGCTTGTGCCCTCCTCACCCACCCCTACTTACACTAGTGATCTCTCTGGATGATTTCGTGTGGGGAGCGATGCTAATCTTTTCATGTTAGTGAGCTCTGCTCTTTGCAGTCTTCACAAAGGTGTTTTGCAGAAAGGATGTAAGTAGGGGAGCAGCTATATGTTATTTATTCCATGATGTACCATTTTTAATTCCCTTTGCACAGCATTTCTCCTGGCATACTACCCCAAGCAAATTCCCACTGCTCCACATCCAAACCTTTTAAAAATATATTATAAATATGTTTCCTGTGTGTCCTTACTCCTATGTGCACATGGATAGATGGGAATTTTTCAAGGTGTAGGCAGGCCATGGGAGCATATGTACCTGTGTGCACACATTTTAGGTTGATAGATCCCTCTCTTAGACACTGGACTCCTTGGCCAGTGGAGTAATACATCAGGAGACCCCTGTTCTCTACCTGGTTCTGTTCCTTACCTACTGTGGGCAAGTCACTGCATACCTCTCTCTGTGCCATTCACCACTTGTCTGTTCTGTGGGGCAGGGATGGTCTTGTGCAATATCTCTATACAGTGCCTTCACGCAATGGTCTTGTGCAATATTTCTGTACATTGCCCACACACCAGGCTGTTGGGGTAATCAAGCCTAGGAAATGGAGGAGGTCAGATTACAAAGTGCAAGTGTCTGTTCTCAATTTCCTACTTGCAGAATGTTAAAATCAAATATCTACAAGTTTGTCTCCCTGATCTCCTTGATAAACACACCTGGGAAGCAGGAAGGGGTGGGCTTTACAATACAGCATTTGACAGGGAGGGAAATCCAAGGTCCATGATACATTTGTATTATATGAGTGTGAACGCTGGCATGGGAACAACCAGGCAGCATAGACTGATAATATTTAAACTAGAAGATGGAGGTTCTTCTGCTAACCACAGTGGGATTTTTTCTATGGATCATACATTCTTTTCTTGTCCTTAAATTCAGCCCTCTCTAAGATTCATGCCATTCCTCTGAAGTTGTTTCCAGATTTTGTGTTTTTGTTTTGTTTTGAACAATGATTTAAGGAGACAAAAAGAGAACTCCTCAGTGTTCCCAGTTTTTACATTAGCTTGTGTAACCCGGGTACACCCAAAGGTGTGCCCTATTCCCAATAGGAGGGGATGGGTAGGCAGGAAGGGATGCTGTGAGAGGGATGCCAGAATTTTGAGCAGATCCCTCTTTCCCCTATACAGTTAACCCAAGCCCAAAATTCTTAACTATATTAAATTTATTAAGCTATAATGTACATAAACATAAAACTAAATATCATATACATATATTTACACAGTGAACATTAACCAATAACCAAGGTCAAACCCTAAATAACACTATTTACAACATCACAATACATTTCAATCACAAAATGTAAAGTGCAAACATGAACAATCTTAATAACATCTATTGCCTTAATATAGTCCCTGACCCATGGCACAAGATACTCTTTCTTCCAATGGGGTCCCTTGGGGGGTGTCCAGGAAGCACCAGGGGCCCCTCCCCTTAGGGCCTTGACTAGGTGGGGGGGCTGCTCACTCAGCCCCTTCTTGGGGTTTGCCCACCCCAAATGTCTGTCCCCTGTGGGACCGAAGGGCCCAATAACTCATGCTCCCTCAGGTGGCAGTGCTCAGGGCACAGCTCAATGGGGTCTCCTATGCTGGAGCGCCTCTCCAGGCCTCTCCTGTGCCACAGGGCTCTTTTCCACCCTGTGCCCGGTCTGGGCACCGAGGGCTCAGCTCCTCTCAGCTGCTGCACCACTGCTGCTGGCTCCTGGGTGCTGGGCCTTAGGCTGCAGCACTACTATTTGCCCATGCCCTGGGTTGGCCTCACGCCAGGTGGCTAACCCAAGCAGCCTCCACTGCTCCCTGGCTCCCAAGGCTCGGGCCCATGCGCTGCCCTGCACGCCGTGGGACCTGGCTTGCTGGGAGATGAGGCCGAAGCCACCTCACTGCAGGCCCCAAGGCCCTGCTGGGGTTGCAGGCTCAAGCCGCTGCTTGCGGCTCCCAAAGCCTGGGCTCCGTGCACTGAACTGTGCACCATCATGGGCCCAAGTAGTCTCACACTGCTCCCAGGGCCGGGTCTCTGCTCACCGTCCCTGTGTGCCATCAACAGCCTGAGCAGTCTCACACCGCTCCCAAGGCCGCTTCTCCAATGGCAGCTTCAGGAGCCTTGGGCCTATTGCCCACTGAGGGAAAGCTCCCAGCTTTTCTTGGCTCCGCTCTTCTTGAGTCCTTCGCTGCATCTGCCCCTTGTGCTGGGCACGCAGCTCCTTTCATATGCTCCAGGGCTCCGCCCCTGCAGTCTTCCCGACCTGACAGTTTACAGTCTTCAATCAGGTCCAGGGGAGCTCTTCTGCCCCTCCCCTCAGGAAAGGGGCGTGACTTTATTTCTCCTGCTGCCTCCTGATTGGTGGATGGGCTTCACCAATCAAAACAGCAGGATCTCAAGCTCTGAAAGATGAGCCTGCTACACTTGCAACTTTTAAACATTGACGCAACTCACAAATGGCTTGTCCAAAGCACTTCCCCCATAGTTCCTTGCAAATAGACCATTGACTTGATAGAAGCAAGATTGCCCTTAGCCCCCAAGCAGGACATGGGCCTTTGACAAGCTGTAGAAAAACCCACTTACAAATAAATCCTAAACTTATGTCATGTTCCCCTTACTATTTAACCCTTGAGGTCAGGACGCATACATGCTGGGTCTGAGACTGCTTCTGCATCTCCTGGCCTATGCAGAACAAGGGGATCCATACATGGGAAATGACCCTTGCTCTGATACAAGGGTGGTTTCCCAAGCCACACACCCAGCTCCATGTTACCAACTATGGAATTAGCTCCCACTTCTGTTGCCATAGTGTGTCAGTTGCAGTGCAGATGCACTTTTACTTCCAGGATGACCATTGTCTAACAATCCAACCGTACATCAAACTGTTTCTTGCTGTGTAAATGATCCTAGACATTCCTTTCCATTTCCCTCACACCTCAGCTCAGATCATCTTTCTCCATTGCCCTTGAAGGCCCTTCCCATATGTCAGGTGCATCCAAATTCCTATTTTCTAGGCAAGCTTCTTACTCCTCTCTCAAACAGTAAAACTTCCCAACACAGAACCTTTGTACATCTGGAGCAAGGTGGTAACATCATTTGCTTGTCATTGTGCAGGTGTCCCTTGTATTTACTTTATTATCCAGATCAGATAAATGAAAACAAAACATAATACATAGCTGCGTGGCTGTATATTTCAAGGTAGGAACTGACTTGTTCTAATATCTGTGATTACATGTTCATATGTTGGTAAGACTTTTTAGTGCAATAATTTTTCATAAACATTGGCTTTAAAAATGTTTTATGAAAAGTGGTTTGGATTTGTTGTTACTGAATCTTCAGTTAGCTGTCTCAGATGTAGTACTGTAGCACAATAGATTCAGAGATTGTCTTCATTGTGTATTCTTTGCATATACGCAGAGAAGTGTATATAAAATACACTATAGGGTGCATCCAGACAAGCGTGAATGTTTGGTTCCCCAGGGACAAGTAGTGGTAGGGTCCAGGGGGCCTCCTGGGGCTGCAGCAGCAGCAATTCTGCTGCGCAGAGCCTGGCCAACAACCACAGTGCAGCTCCAGGTGGCCTGGCTCAGCTTGGCTCGGCTTTTGGGCAGTGCACAGTGCCCGCTCATATGTTGCTCCACCTTTTTTTTCTATGGGTTTTTTCAACCCCTGGTCCCTGGATATCTGGGGTCAAAAAAGCCCATGGAAAAAAAGTGGAGCAGCACCGTGAATGGGCAGCATGCCTTTGCAGCATGGAGAACATCTAAATGTGTGTATATGGTGCCACAGATGTGTTTGCGGTGCCACATACTGCACGGCCACGCTCATCCAGATGCAGCCTATGTGTGCTTTATATATTTATTGCTACTGATAATGGGAATATACTCTCTATTCTGCTTAAACAAGTAGGTGAACAATTAATAGCATAATCAGTCCTACTGCTGGCTCCAGCGTATAACTGCTGATCAGTGGGTGTGAATTCATGACTTGAGGTGCACCACAGGGTTACATAGTTGCATATTAACATTCTGTACATTTCGTGCATTTACCTACAGTCTTAATTAGTTTTTAAAATGTAATTCTAGCACAATTCATTTGTAAATGATGGATGCTTATCTACTCTGGATAGTACAGTAAATACTACCTCTAGCACAGTGACCTCCCACAGGAAATTCTTAGTTAATATATGGTTAAGGTTGGGGATTTAAACGCAAAAAAGATTTGCATTTAAGAAGCTTGAGTCTTGCTCTGCTTCTGTTTACCTGTTCACCCATCTGTTGCTGTTACTCTAATAATCTTAATTCCTTCCATAAAAACTGTTTTCCTTCTTGCCTAGGAATGCATCTCTCCATGAAAAACAGTGAATAGGATGCTATTTATACGGAATGTCAGCACTCTCAAATAGAAATACTTCATCTCTTACTATGTGCATATATGAAATACAGTCATACACACCCACAGAACCCCAGGGATCTTTAATTGTTACTGTAATTTACTACTACTACTGTTGTTATTATTATTTATATAGCATACTTAAAATATATAAAATATATATCATATACACTGGTAATTTTAATTTATAATGATAATAATAAAAATATATTCCAAATGGAATATCAGCCCATCATATTTTTTCATCTCCTTGTATGTAGGAGAGAATTATGCAGCTGATGTCCCTTCATGGAGATTGTAGTAGACTGATGAGGCAGCAGTGAATTAATTCTTTTCAGGTTTATAATATCTGGTTATGAAAAATATCTGGGCCAGAATGCTTTAACATTTTGAATGTACATGGACTGGAGTGTTCACATTGGAAGGGTTTCTCTCCTCTTGTCTGGGAGTTCTGTGTCCCACATGGAGAGGAGGTTGTCTCCATTATTCCTGTTCCCAAAGTGACCTCTGTTCTACCTCATGCAGGCTTGCTTCCGTGCTGGTGCAGTTCTCTTGGATGTCTCCCTGTTGAGTGTTATACTTGCAAGCAGGTCAGGTGCTCAGCTAGTCTAAACAAGTATTGCACCATCAGTGTGAAAATAGACCAGTTTGCATCAGCCAAGGATGTTCAGGCATTTTTTTCTGAGTTGTCCCTTACCCTCTCTGGCTGGATGTCCACACCACAAAGAATGTCCACACCATGCCCCTGGCACTCTCAGGTAGAGTTGCACACACCAAACCTGGAAATGTGAGAGAGAAATGTGCTGTGGGGAGAGGTACTCTCTTGTGGCTGGACATAAAGGTTTCAAGAACAGCATGCTGTGTAGCAGTCTTGGGGGACATCCCTTGAGTGGCTTCACCACTGCATTTCTGGGTTTGGGGAATGTGAGTAGAAGCAGTGGATAGGGCGTGTTCTAGCATATCCTTCCCCAAGAGGACCTTCTATGTGGTGTAGGTATACCAGAATCTCCAGGTCTTTCCTTTGATTCTTTCTATCTTACGGAGATGGTTCCAGACTGATTAGATCTACTTATTAGCATCTTGGACTGATGTCCTTCTTGAAGCTAGTTAAGGCACCAGTAAAATGTTCTCTCTCTGGTTCCTATTACAGAGACTTCTTGTAACATTGGGTCAGGCTGCTCTTGGATAACATCTGTGGGTGCCCCTAGAAAACCAGACTGGGTACCATCTTCAGTGGGTGTCTTGGTGCCACAGGAACAGCGACAGCTTCTGGAGGACAGTTCATCCACTGGAGACATAGAAGGTAGGCAGAATTCTAGTTCATTCCTAAAAGAATACAAATGTGCATACACACATGTCTGTGACCAGCCATCCTTCACCTTCTCAAACTGCTGAACTCAGTTTACTAGCCTACATGGAGTCCCACTGTAGACCCTAGAAGACATCCCACTAAGAACTGTATGTATTATAAAAAAAATCTATCAGTTATTCTTGTGCATGTCTCACACACTGGAACTGAGAATATTACATAGCTATATCTAGCACCTACAGTGTGGCAGCCCTGCTCACAATGTAGTGTGGTATGAAGTGTGGTATTTACAACAGGAGGGTTTTATGCCACACATATTTGAAATGCAGGGGATATATTCTCAAAGGCCCAACGATAAAGGTAAATAACTTATTTTGTATCCTTAGTGTGCAGTGTATCTATTACCATAGAGAACCAGACCCTGAGAAATGCAATGGTCCTACCACTCCTGGTATGGCTACTTGGATATGCAGGTCCTAGGCGTGCTCAAGGGAAGTACATCTGTACTCAACCTGCTGGACAATCAGCAGCAATCAGCATATTACTGATCATCCTGCAAGGCTTTCCTGCAAGTTGCCCAGCACTTGCAGCTCCCTTTGATTTTAGTGGGTGTTGGTAGGCTCCCAAGTACTTACCATGTCTTAGGATATGGCCCATGACCATTATGTTCTTGTGAATACAGTTGCACTCCTGTTGAAATTTTTAGCAACATTCTTATCAACTTTAGAGGGACCCAGTCCGACCCTTTATGAATTAGTCTTTTGCCCATCCAGATCAGAAAATGCCACTCTAACTAGAGGGCGAGTGTTCATGATACTCAGGCCCTCTACACAGCTAAATGACCCCTTATATTATATTATATTATATTAATTTTCGTATCTGTGTTTGAAGTAAGTTTCTAACTACCATTTTATCCATCACATCCTCTCTCCTTTTTCTTTCTTACTACCCTTTGATTCTTCTCTGCTTTCCCCCTTTCTTCTCTGCTCTTTCACTCAACCTTTTCTTTCATTTTTTAAAAACGTATTCTCCTTTCATTTATCTTATTTCCTTCTCTCTTGTCCTTTCTCCCTCCCTTTTCCTGTCTTTATATTCTCTCTTCACTTTTTTTCTCCTTTCCAGCCGAAGACATTCTTCTCCTGAATGCTAACAGGCCCTCGGATAGATGTGAGTTCAGTCTACGTAGCCCTGTCCTGCCCAGGAGCTCAGAGTCCTGCATGCTGGAGCTGGTCATATATTTACCTGGAGCTGCTCCTGTTCCCCAGGGACTCACAGTCAAAGTCCGGCACGTGGAGACAAACCAGGAGATAGTCATCCCTCTGAGAGTTGGACATGAAAAAGATGGCTGGTAAGATCATCTGCCTGCGGCTAGTTAGACTTAGCGCTGAGGGTCAGTTTCTTCACTGCATTGGGTTTTAACAACATCTGTTCTCAAGATCATTATTTCTGCAGACACTTAGGACTGAAACAGGAACTTAAAGAGCTAAAGACCCAGGCTCTGAAACTGATGACTGTGTCACACTCATTCCCCATGGAGCAGGCACAGAAGAAAACATATAATGTAGTGTAGGTTACAGTTCCTCCAAAACATTTAATAGGGTGAGGATACCCCCTTTTTTCCCTGTGTCTCCCTCACTAGTACTGAGATGATATGCCAAACATCTATGGGTCCAAAATACAGCTTCAGAAATGGGCTTATTTTTCTAAATAGTATCGGGGGTTTATCATAGTGACAGGGGTCATGTTTTCATTGTTTGTTCAGGTATTTTTAACTACTGTAATGTTTTGAGTATAAGTTGACCCCACATATATGTCAACCCCCCATTTTCAGGTTCAATTTTAGGGAAATGTCTTTTTCCTTGAACTGTTGCTTCGCTTGCAAAATGCCACAACAGAATCAACCAAGGAAAGAACTTGCCCCCCAAAAATTCTAAAATAACAAAAAAGCATCCTCTATACCAACGGCAATTTTGCCCCAGGCTCACCATATTGTCTTCAGCCTAAAATTCCACAGCAATACAGATCAACGCTGATATTTTTAATGTAATGGAAATTATTTACAGGTTTGAGCAGGGACAGACTCTTATCAAAAGGACAGATTTGAAGTGCAGTTCTGGATTCAAACTTCTTATGACATGAAGAACCAAACCCTGAATGTAAATAATCCCAAATTCAAATGGTCTAATGTTTGAGGAGCTATGGGGAAGAAGGACAAGGGTAGCTGTATAAATCTTTTCTGACAACTGTGTTCTGTTGGAAAATGTTAACTTGTTGCATCAGAAATGTTTCAGTGTTGGTTTTGACCAATTTCAGTGAAACATGGGCAAGGCTCCAAAGTGAATCCTGCATAGTTTCTTATCGGCTCACCTGTGCCCTGTTTCCTGGCTCTGCGGCTCCAGTGGTGACCCACCACATGGACTGTTCCAGAGGTGGGGACCCAAGGCTTCTTAGCTCCCGGCAGCCTGTAGTTGAGACAGACTTCTGCATGCCTCTACTTGACACCAGGTTCCAAGGATTTCTGAGTTCCTATCTTGCCATCTCCCACTCCAGTGAAGCAGACCAGTGAGATCGCCAGGAACTCAGGTGGTGATTTGGATCACCCAGCTGTTGTGTGTCTTCCCCTCGTGAGCTGAGTTTGCCACATTACAGTAATCATGATGGAGTAGATGACTGCTGTGGCACCCATAAGGACAACAAAGTCTCCTTATTGGTGCTGTGCCAGGTCACTGCCCCAATCATAGGTCAACCTGTGTGTAAGTTGATTATGGTTCTTTCTGAGGGGGGAAAAAGGCCAACTTGTGTTTAGAACAAGATGGTATCACAGGATCATCCCAGCCTGGGCAGAGTTCAGGGGTATTCTGATAGAGAGGGGAAGAACAGGCAGACAAGAATATCAAGTAAACCTGGCTCTTAACCTGAATCTCCCTTTCTTTGGTCTTCTTCCATTTGTTTTGTCATTCCCATAGGTGTTAGAATATACAAGGTAGGGGGAACAAGAGGGTTCTTTGAGGTGCAGCAGGGGTCTGAATTGCAGCAGAAAAAAGAGAGGAGGGCCCACATGCCTACTGATTTAGAGCCCTCCTTGTGCTCATTTTTCTTTTCTCCTGCCTGCCTGTTAGGAGCTGGGGGTAAGTACACTGCAGGCTTTTAGTTTATGATGCCTGATTAGCTTCTGTGGAGACTTCCAGCAACAGATCCCTGCTCTTGTTTCCCTTGAATTCCCTGGCGCTACCTTTTGTTGCCATGGATATACCCAGCCAAGACTCCTGTTCTGGTCAGCAGTTTAACTTAAAAATTTAATTGTCAGGCCTCTGATCCTTTTGCTTCCTATTTTTAATTCCTGCTCCCTTTGTTTCCAGGCAGGCCTATACCACTCAAAATATCTTCTGACTGATGCAGCAGGGAAGCAGTTACTTTCTCAGAGGTCAATTTCTAATGTCATTCTTGCAGCCCGGACTGCGATTGCCAGTTCCAGAATGTAGCCAGTTCCTGCTGGCCAACACAGCTAGACTTCAGACCCATTTCAATGTATTAAAAGCCTAATTGATACAGCAGCACCCACAAATATCTATTCACTTGGTATATATTGTAATTCCCTCCACCCATCACTCAGATGCAGCTGTCTCTGGAGTGGAACAAAGTAACTGTTTAACAGTCTGCTTGAATACTAACCAGCAGTTTGAAGAGATGGAGTTAGGATTATCTTTAATTAAAATTACAGTAGTACTGAAGTAGTTAAAAGATAATTAGCTGAACTGGAGTTTGGCCAAGACATTGACATTAACACTTTAGATTAATGAAAAGAATAATTAAATAATTGCTGGGATAATTGCATATGTTTTAAGGGCATCTAAAAGATGGACAGCAATTCTGGGCTGTTTAAAATTTTTGTAAACAAGAAAAAGGGGCTGGAATTGGAGACCTTTAAATGAATATTATTTGGGTTTTTCCCCCCCTTTATAATTAAACTTAAAAAAAATATCTGCACAGACCCAGGATGAAACACGTTTGGGGTGTGTGATAGTGCAAAACCGACTCACTGCATTTTGATCTACCTTCTCCTTGCCCAGTACATGATCCAAGATCAAATTTCTCTGTTGTATCTTCAGACCTAGCACAACCACTTGTCAGGAAGAGAGAGACTAGGCTGAAGAATTGGATTTTTGGATGGTTTGGAATTGTTTCCATGTTTTTGTCTGCCTCCATGTGCTACTTTACAGTTGGAAGTAAAAAGAAGGGCGAGGACCAAACAGTTGAGTAGGATAGAATTCAGTATTCAGTTTATATAGCTAGCCAGTGAAACTCACTACCACAGGACATTGCTGAAGCAAAATTAGAGATTTATGTCAGCAAAAAATTAGCACTGCAGTTTTTTTCAGGGAGGCAGGAACTACAAAACACCTTACTTCAGCCTCTCCCACCAATCCTCATCCCTGTTGCCAAGCCATAACCCACTCAGTTCAAGTGGAGCGCTTCACTGGGCTTTTGTCTTTCTGGCTCTGGAAGACTCCTATCTTGACTGAGTTCCTCCTTCTGAACCTGTCAGCAGAGTATTTTCCCTAGGCGTGTACCATGCACAGGAGAGAAGTGCTCCTTGGAATGGTATTGTCCTCTCTGATCAGTGTGATTCATCATCAGACTAGTAGTGCTGAAGCTGCTGGTCCATTTGCTTCTATCCACAGTTCAGACCAATCTTTGGTGAAAGCATTCCAGGAAGAGAACAGTGAAGAGAGGAGGCTGGAGAACACCAGACACCAGCTCCCCTCATCTCTGCTGTCGGGTTGGTAGCAGTGCATCTGTAAGGTGACCACTTTGGATGTAATGTTGACCTAAGTGTCTAACTAAATTCACACAAGCACCAGCAGACTCTCCCTAAGCCTGAAGAAGGGTGTTTGTGCCCACAAGCTTGCAAAGAACAATTTTTCCAACTATTTAGTTGGTCTAATAGAAGATACCTCATTTACCCAGAGGTCATTGTCTAACCAAATTCAGGGTATTATGGGCTACTTCTGTTAGAAGGAGAAATTAATACTGGGACCAGTGTTACTTTAGGTTGATGCATACTATCTTTCACAATAGTAGCCAGTGGGAAACCCTTCTGCCCACGCATTTTTTTTGCTTTGCGTGACTATGTGCCTGAGTCTATGCATTGCTTAATAAAGCATGATTAATGGCATGTCTGCACTGCCTGTGCCATGCCTGGAAGGCCTATTGCAAGGCCTGGCCTGTTCTGCACACACGGGTTCTTTAAAAAGAAGGCAATGTACTTGTAGCCTCCTTAGGATAGCCCTGAGCACGTGCACTTAAGCTCTGTCTCAGGTGTGCTTATTGGCATGCACTCAGGGCTGCTCCATGGTAGCTGCATTGTTTTGTTTTTTGGGAATTGCTGGCCATGGGGCAGGAGTGAATGGGCAGGATGTGTTTCACAGCAGTGCTCTGGGTGCAGGACAGAGGCAGTCCCCAAGGGTCCCTCAGCCACTTTCTCTAGTACAAGAACGTTCCCTCTCTTTTCACTCTAACACAAGAAGTTGTTATTGTTTGTATTCAAGGATAATTTCTCCAGATCCAGCAGCAGGTTTATTTTCTGAGCTGGTCAGGCATTAAATAGAAAGGATTATTTAGAAGTGGGGAGGCCTTTTCCTAACAGAGGGAAACAGAGGAGCCAGAAGTTTTGTAATGCTGAGAATACTGATGAACTCTAGAAATGACCAGGGCCATACAGGTCATTGAGTTCTCTTGCACTGAGTGTTCAGTTTCTTTACAGATCCAAAATGTTTTGTTTGTTTGCAAGTTGCCCAGAGATGTGTAAGGCTCTGACAGCTTCTCCAAGTGTGTGTGCAGCTTTAATGCCTCTGTTTAGACGTGTAGTAATATTAGCCAATTTACTGAGATCTACCCTGACATAAAATCGATAGTAAAGGTATTGCCAAGCTGGGCTTATCTGAAAGCCAGCTACAACAATCTATCTTCTGCTTTATATACAAAAGGCTTTGTTCCTGATTCCATTACGAAAATTAAATTGGCTTTGAATAGCCTCTGTTTTTGATCCCGGGACCAAGCAAAGAAGGTACGTTATTTATGGCATTGGAAAACTTGCTGCAGTTAGATATTGGAGCTGACGGTCTTTACCAAGAGAATTCCTGGGCAGTGCTTTTAGGTGGAACACTGTACCTCTTTTTGCATGATACAAAGCTACTTATCACTCTTGAAGATTCTGCCATGCTGTGTAGTGGAGTTAACGGAAGTCAGGTCTCAGTGCTAGAGCTTGTTGGAAGTGGTACTGTAATGCATGATGGAGAGAGTACAGCAGTGTTTCAGTGCTGGAGGTTCTTGGATGATCTGCTGTTA